CTCCTCTGAGCCAGGAAAGGTACAGTACTCCTTCGATACAGTTACAGTGCTTACAGTTTCGAAGACTGCTTCATTTCTCAGGTCTTTATCTGGCGTTGCTGTTGTCGACAGGTTAATTTACTCTGTGGGTGGCCGTGGAAAGGGAAAATGTTTGAACAGCATTGAGAGGTAATGATAGAGGCACAACTCACGATAATTTCGAGTAATCCAGATTATGACGAAGAATGGAAGATAAGGTGGAAAATGGTGCGATGAAAGGGAAGAAAAAGAGCGAATCGGCGTTTACAAGTGAAGAAAGGCTTTGGAGAAATCGTTTAAGAGGGGGCTGGATGAGAATGAGACCAGAAAATTTACGTAGAAGGGGTGTTTGGACGAGATATACAATGTGTGTCATTGCATGCATGTGGGTCCTGATGCGAAAAGCTGACTACAGTTAGTAAAGAGTCCTTTCAAATTCGATCCCTCAAAACCATAAGTTTACAAGAACATTAATAACAGAAAAAAGCCCACTTTTTTCATCCTCATAGTTAGAAGACTAGATAAAGGATTGCAACAGCAAAAAGAATGGCAGAGAACAATAGAATAGGAGAGGAACATCGTCTCATCACTTGGTGATCGGCTGATTGCGTGCTGAACATGTGGGTTCTGGCGCGAATATTGCAATCTGTACCATCTCGACGCTCGTCTGACATATCATGGGTCGATGAGCGTGTCATCCGACTGGTCCAGTATGTAATGGGGCTCTTGAGTTCTTGGGCCCAACAGCATCCTTTCTGTTACCCCTGAGGGCCTCTGGGTAATCCTGAGGAGAAATCTGAAAAACCATTCTAATCGTAACTGTGCTTTTGAAGCAAAAAAAGCAGCAAGGAGCTGTTTCTTTGTTGAATTATTTTTTTGTCAGGTTTATGTCAATTTAAGTCTGGCAATTCATCAGAAATGAGGTCAGTGAAAGAGGTATTTGTAATGAAAATTTCAGAACTAGCCAAATCTAATTCGCTCTACAGGGGAAAATTTTTATTAAATACATGCGAGGGGGCTCGCAGACGGTCTCTGATGCTTGTTCTTTTTATATGTAGAATCTCGGTTATGTCGAGCCCTTCCCGCTTGAATAGACAAGTTGTGGTTCCCTTTAGGCTTCCGTAGAGCCATGTGAAGTACGAAGAAATTCGGTGTTCTCTCAAGACAGCTCTTCAGATATAATCCAGCTACGGACCAATGGATATCAGACGTCGCTCCCTGTCGTGCTAGTCGACACTTGCTCGGTGTGGCTGCTCTTGACGACCATCTTTATGCAGTGGGCGGCTTTGACGGTTATCATCATCAAGGTCTGAACATTGTTGAATGGTAAGGGCAACTTTGATCGACTCTCGCATAAACTGTCCTCCGCGCTGTCGCTGCAGCTATGACGTTCGGCGAAATGAGTGGACCTCTGTGGCACCTATGGGTACAGGTCGAGGCTCGCTTTGTGTCTCCGTGTTGGATGGCTGCATCTACGCAGTGGGAGGAAAGAGTAATGGTCCTGTTCTCAGTACCGTAGAGAGGTGGGTCAGTTTGGATTTGGGGACTCTGTACTGCTCCGAGCAGAGTTCCTTTGTATTCAATATCTTCAATAACACTCGTGAAACAAGTAGAAACTTCGGACCAGACACGATTGCGATATATCTAATGCTGAAACAGCTGAACTCGGGAACGGTGAACATTTTGAACGGTGAAGATCCGACATATTATCCTTCATTGGAA